CTCGGTCTTGGCGAACGATTCGTTATCTCGGTTAAAGAGAAGGCTCTGTTAGACCGGTTGAGGTAAATCAGAAGATGGTTTGACTTATTGACATTGCTAGTATGAATATGAAGTGCTAGCTCGGTCGTATAGTTAGATTAGCGTGGCATCGACGACAAACTACTTTTTAGTTCGGTTATATTGTAATTTTGGATCAAACACAGTGTTCTATAGACTACTTCATGAAGTTCAAGTGGTTCTTAAAAATGTTTTTCAAACATAGAATGCTATGGATTAAACAAAAGCAGAAACAAAAATAGAGAAACAGATTTATGATGCTTACCAGGTCCAGAGGCACAAGAAGATGGAAGTGGAAGTAGCAACAATAGCAAGAACACGCAGCTTCTTCGAAATACAAAAAACAGTAAGAGCTTAGAAGAGAGAAAGAGAGAGAAGAGCTTGAAATAGTAAAACGATCGATGAGGGTGATTCAAAGGACGAAAATATTGTTTTGGGATATAGGAAGGACGAAAACGCGTGGGACTGTTCAAATTTTGCGGAGTACGAAGGCGGCGCGACAGCTGCTGTAAGCTAATTCCAGCATGCCACGTGTCAGGGATGAGAATCGATTCAGTTTCTGTGATTGAAGGGACGTTGTGACCGGACAAGCACAACTCGGCTTAAGTTTAGCTCGGCTGGGAGGGTTAAAAGTATATAGCTCGGCTTTAAAGGCTTCAGAGTTTTAGCTCGGCTGGAAAGGCTAAAGGGTTTTTTAGCTCGGCTGAAAAGGTAAAACTTTAGCCCGGTTTATAGACAGGTAATCCCTATCATGCTACGCAGATGGAATTAAGGGGCAATTGAGAGGGTAATTTATATACGAATTGGGCCGAGCTAGGCCTTTATGGGCCTCAGTACGAAGGGCTGAGTAAAGAGGTCATCAAGTTACTCCGGTCTTGAAGAGGCTTAAAGTTAGCCCGATCTCAAGCCCAGAAGGTAGACCGGTCCGAGGGACTCTTGATGTTAGTCCGGTCGAAGGACGCTTTGTAGTTAGACCGGTTTAAGGATGCTTTGAACTTATACCTGTCATGGCGCAGTGAAACAAGATTTGTCTAAACCATGATAAAAGATAGTTCGGTTTTGGGCATACATGGTTTGTTGAAAACTATGGACAGAGAACCGAACTAGGTATGGTTCGGCTAAGCATAGTCGTGATTACTTCGGTCGTATGGTAGGTCGGCCATGGAAGAACCATCTCACTTGGTTTAAGCAGTGAGGGGGGGTTGAAGGATAAGCATTATCCTTCAGGAGTATGAATCCTAGGAGGACTCTGCATGGAGGAGAAAAAGTCCTACTAGGATTGTGCCACGCAAAACCTATAAAAGCTCACAAACATCACCTATGGAGAGGTAACATAACTTTGGTTCTTTGATACACAGAGCTTTTTGCCTACTTGTCTATTTTGCTAACTTAGGCATCGGAGGGGTTTCCGGCACACACCCGCCGGCTAGCTCACGTTTGTGTTTTCAGGGAGTAAAGCAACGACGTTTGGAGGAGCGCAGACTTGATCAACAAGATTATACGAGAAGGTTTATTTCTTTCCCGTACAATTATGATTAAAACTTTGGATGCATATCGTTAAAAAGCTTTTGAGGTGTATATAAATTTAATATGACTTATTGGGTCATTCTACCAATAAACATTTGCAATACTTATTGGGTCATTCTATCAAACTTTAATATGACTTATTGGGTCATTCTATCAAACGCGTGTAATGATCATAATTGATTTGAGTCTAGTAAACTCACACCAAAAATTTAAAAAAAAAAAAAAAACATGATTAGTTTATTTCCTGAACACATGTTCAGGAAATGGGTTCTAGTTGTGTGCCTATATAAAGAAAACTTATTGGGTCATTCTATAAGATGAAAAAGATGAACAAAAAATAAGATGAAAAAAAAATGACAACAAATTAAGGGTTTAAAAACTGTCTAACCCAGAACAGAAATAAATAAAAAAAAAGAACAGAGCTATCTATATTAATATGGTAAAAAAGAAATTTAAAAAAAAAAAAGAATAGAAAAATAGGTAACCCAAAACAAATCTTCCCTACTACAACAAAAAACTATATAGATTAATCTCAAAAAAACTGTCTAGATTAATCCCCAAAAATGTCTAGATTAAAAATATACCAAAATTTTCTTTTCAAAAAATAAAAATATTAAAATTGAAATTGCCAAAAATCACAATGTAGACTTTTAGCCTAAAATAGTCACACATTAGAGATTCTTCACATATCTAACGAATGAAAATGAATCAAAAACAGAACAAACCCAGAAACATAAATATAAATATGATCAAAATGAATATAAATAGGGATCTATGCATGATGCATGTGGGTGTAAAGAAAAGGATTGAGGCTCAGATCTGCTTTGATATCAGGCTGAGAACTGTGTTTCAATCCGCCATGGCTGCAATCAACAGTTGCCTGGTGAGAGATAGAGAGAGAAAACCAGATCTAACCTCTGTCTTTCCCTCTCTTGCTCACTGACCTTCCGGGTTGCCCCGCCATGAAACGGATTCGATTATCTCAACGTCTGATTTGAAAACCCAGAAGAGAAAATTTATCATCACAACCTCTATTAAGGGTTCATTTGGGAAGAAGCTTTGATTAATGTTGTTGTTGTATGTTGCTTATGCTCTGCAGAAGGATCGGTTTTAAACCAACCCAACACTCACGCACGCACGCACGCACGCACACAAAGATAGATAGATCGATAGATAGATATAGATGCATTGATCAGAGATCAGAAAAACACACACACCCAAATCCAAATCCAAATCCAAATCCAAAACCAACCAATAACTTCTCCATCCAGAGGGTTATTGATTTTTGGAGATTGAAGAAGATGAAATCATAGGCTTCTTTTTTCTGTATTAGACAGATTACAGAGAGGGGCAACTACCCTCAGAAACTTCCCATCCCTCTGCTTGAAGCCTCTTTCATTCTCTGGGTTTCAATCCCTTAGCTTGCTTTGCTTTGCATCTACATATATATATATCCAAAATGCAAATTATATATATTATACACACAAATACATACAGACTTCAGTCCGGGGACGGTGACGCTCTGGTCGGGGACAGACTTCGGTCCGGTTCTGGCAGAGACGACTCCCTTTCAACCCTTGTTCCCCTGTTAATCTATTTTATTCCGGCAGAGAGGGAGGGAGGAGGAGCACGGTGAGGGTTGGGCTCCGATAGGGAAGCACGGGAATGGGCTCTGATGGAGGTAGAGAGAGAGAGAGAGAGAGAGAATGTGGGTGTTCAAAATTTGAAAACAGGAAGAGAGGAGAGGAGTACGTGTGAGAGAGAGAGAGAGAGAGAGAGAGAGGGTGAGTGAGATGTTTTTAGCCCTTGGATTAAAATCAATCTAATGGTCAAAATTTGGACAAAGGGACAAAAGTCCCATCCGGAATCAAATTCTTAGCTTCCTTGTTATGTAGATATGTATATATGTTTGTAGATATCCATTTCTCTCTGTATATACATGTTCATTTTGAAGGTAATCTTAGATCTGGGTGTTCGAATGATGATGTTTATGAATCCAATTCCAGAAATATATATATATATATATATATATATATATATATATATGTATATGAATGTATATGATGCTAGAAAAATAAATATATAATGATACATATGTATATGAATGTATATATTTATGATTTGCCCTCTGTGATTTTTTTAAAAATTATGTCCTGTTTCTTGAAATTTTCAATTTAATACTGTTGAGGGATAAAAATATTGGCCCAAAAAGCCATATATGTTAGCCCAAGGTCCAAAGGAATGTCTAGTCCAGTAACTCGGAGCAGGAAGGGCCCAAGTCCATGATAGACCCGATGGAAGAGGGGACAGTGTCACGTGATTAGAGCCTGAGTAAAATCGCCTTTTAGAAGGATATTTGCAGAATGCAAAAATGCCGTTGGATTCACTCACAATCAACAGTAAAGATCACAATCGTCAAAAATAGGTACATAGGCTTGGCCCATAAAGATCACAATCGTCAAAAATAGGTACATAGGCCTGGCCCATGCAACGGAATGACTACTCGATAAACTTGATCGGCCGGATGAAGCAATTGGCTGGTTGTCCCTAAGAAGCCTGATATGATCTAAACTGCACATAACAAAGTAATTCAACGGCAAAGGATCAAAACAACTTGGTTACTTGTTCGACCAAAGTCTAGGAGCGACCAGAACCTTTAGATGAAAATGCCAATCCAACGATCAAGACTAGAGCAAATAATATTATAAAAGGAAGGATAAGGAAGAGCACATGGTCAAAAAAGAAGAAGTATAAAATCTATCTCCATAAATAAATATAGAATGTTTGATCTTATGTCTAACTTGATCGTCGGAAGATCCTCTCGACCATATATGTCGGAAGAGATCACTAACTAATTGGTTTCTCTTTGCAGAGTAAATGAAGTACTATCTCGTCTCATAATCCCTGTGGAGAATCCTCCACCTTTCACAAATAATAAATGACAAATTTTATTAATAAATTATTTAGTTAATTAATAATTGATCTTATGTCTAACTTGATCGTCGGAGGATCCTCTCGACCATATATGTCGGGAGAGATCACTAACTAATTGGTTTCTCTTTGCAAAGTAAATGTAGTACTATCTTGTCTCATATTCCTGTTGGAGAATCCTCCACGTTCCACAAATAATAAATGACAAATTTTATTAATAAATTGTTAAGTCAATTAATAATTTTTTAATAATATCATAAATTTATTTCAATTAATAATTTAACTAATTTTATCATTGTAAGAGAGAACAGTTAAAAATTTTATTTTTTTAATTAATTTTGTTAAATAAATTTTTTTTGAAAATAGAATATTTATAATTTTTAAAATTATGAAAAATAATTCGTATTTTAAATAAATATCAATGAGTGTATTTGTAATTTATTTAAAAATAAACTCATAAAAAATACTAATAACCATGATCCAAACACGCCATAGTCCCTCTGTGCTCTATATTCTGCACAGTTCTCCGAGAGAGAGAGAGAGAGAGGGAGAGAGACGAGGATGAAGAAAAAGGTTCCAAAGCCTAGCAAAAGTCGACAGAAACAGCACAAGATCGGAAAACGGCGATGTAAACCCTAACTTCATTTCAAATTTGATCATATATGTATCAGTAACTTTCATACATACACAAATGCTGATTTCTCTGTATTCTTCAGTAAAAATTAGGGCAAGAAAGCGAGCTAGAGAAGAAGGTTTGAGTCCACTGGTGAAGAAGTACTGGTTACAGAGGTACGACCTGTTCTCCAAATACGATCAGGGTATAAAAATGGACGAAGAAGGATGGTTCTCGGTCACGCCCGAAGAGATTGCTGTCAGGCACGCCGTGAGGAGTGGCGGCGGAGTCGTCATCGATTGCTTCGCTGGTGTCGGCGGCAATGCCATTCAATTCGCTAAAATGTAAGCTCTTCTGGGTATGTTTTCTTCTCTTTTTTCTTTTTAATAATTTTAGGGGTTTGGAAATGAAAATGCTGAATTAAGTTGATAAAGATTCAATTTTTGTGCTTCCCATTGCAATTTTTCTTGTGCAAATGGACCTAAATCAGTCTTTTGAAAACAATGGCAAACTGGGTCCTTCATGGGGAAGTGATTGATCGTTAACTTTTGCTTAGACCTAATTTAGGTACCTGTTTTAGTTTGATATATATATAATATATATATTTATGTATATTGCTTATGAATTGGTTATAGGTCATACCCATTTTTCTTTTTAATTGTCAAGAATTGGCTTATCTTGCTTATGAATAGTTTATAGATTTCATACCTATTTTATTTTTAATTTTCTGAAGTTGATTATATATATCCTGAAGTTTGTAAGTTACCATACCTCTTTTTCTTTTTAATATTCAAGAATTGACTATATATATATATATATTCTGAAAGTGTTCTTTAATTTTGGAAATTACCATGTTGTTAATGATCTTTAAGATGATGAGATACCATTTTCCTTCTACAACCTAACTCACTCAATGAAGTTCCTCCGACTATTTGAGATTCGCTTTGTGACCCCATTTTCTATAAGCTCTGTTAGACCACACACTGACACTACTTGCCCGGATTTTTGCCCCCAGGATTCATGTTCATATAATAGAGGATTTGGAAAGTTTTACACTAGTTGTCCGCTACCTAACAACTACCCTTCTTTGACTGTGTTTCTAACTGACTAAAGACAAGACACTAAGCACGCACAATTAGAATTTAAAAAGGACATTACCCACCATTTTTCTTTCAATTGTGAATTGCTTTGGTGCTGATTTTAGAACATATTTCAAATATGCCGAGTGCCTCAAAACCTTGCTATCTTTTCATTCTCAGTTGACTTTACATGTTTAATAATAATACCTTTTATGGTTTTATCTATCGCTTTCTATTGTTCTAGACTATGGCTGTATTCTATCATCAATTTAATTCAAAATGCCATTTTTCAACTACTTATGGTTGCAAAGATTTTTATCTTCTCACATTGAATAATTCTTTTGGATTCCGTGATTGATTTAAGCTATAAAATTCAACACCTTTTGATTCTAGCCTAATGGCTCTCATATTTGACAAAGCTGAAAAGCCCCACATGTCGTATGCAGCCCTGCACAACAAGTTCTACAAGACTGTCTATGAAGCACGGGTATTCAAAAAATGGTACCGTACGAGTACCGGGTACTTACCGGGTGCGGGTACACGTACCAGGTATGCCGAATACATGCCGGGTATGGAAAATATATTTGGGTACGTCGTGGGTATGGCTAGGTATTTTTTATTTTTATTTTTTGTTACTAGAATTTATTACACCCTTTATTATTCTTCTTTTAATTTTGAAAATATCAAGTAATTTATTTCCAACACTTTTTACCCATGAGTCATGGTTTTGCTCTCTTTTGTATCCGATTTTAGATAATCAAAAAAGAAAATGAAAAAATTATATAACTTTTTAAACAAATTGTTCTATTTTTAGTTTTGATATTGAAATTTTGATTTGTATATTAGATGTTTAGCTATAAATTTTAAAAAGAAAAATTTTAAAAAAATTGACCTACACCAGCTGTACCCTACTTTTAAAAGAATTTGTTGTATCGGCGTACCTGTATCGGTATCGTACCTGTACCGTATCTGTACCCGCACTCGTGGTTCATAAAAGACTGTGTATTGGATTTGACCCTCATCTACAATGGAATGGAAACCCAAGAAGTTTTTTACTCCCTATAAGCATTAGCTTTTTGTACTTGAATTGTCAATGGGGCTCTATTTGGTTCATTGGAATGAGATGGAATGGTTGATTCCTTAGGCTTTCTTATGGAATGACCATTCCCTTAACATATTGAAAGATGATTCCATTTGTAATGCATTTGTCGTTATATTTTTAGTCTAGCCGAACATAAGAATGAACATTTTGATAGAATGATCATTCCATTCCACTTTATTCCAATCAACCAAACACTACTTGGAAGTTTCAAACCATGTATCAATCTTGGCACTTCTAGTAAAATATCTATAGGAAATTTCCATAATTGAGAATTGAATATGATTTGGGGTTGTTTGGGTTCAACCAAAAGGGGTGTTGGATATGCTTTGAGCTTGGTGGGGTGCTCAGATTGGACGTCGACGGTGGCAGGTGTGGCTATTGGTGCCGTTTTGCTTGATGTGGCTTGTATGGTTGGAGCGAAATCGACGAACTTTCAAGAGGTTTATCATGGTGTTCTTTGGTTAGAGAATCGGCTTATTGTAGTTATGTATAGTTGGTTGGAGAGAACAGTTGATCCAGATTATATTTGTTTTTTTAGATTTTTTAAATGATATAATTGGATAGTGCTTGGGTTGGGTTTCCCCAATTGGGATACATTTTTGTATTTGCTGCATCATCTTGATGCCATTTTAATAAATTGTTTTATTTATCAAAAAAAATAAAAATACTATGCACATGGACTTGTTTAACCTTTACATATGATTAATATATCCTTATGTGGAGAACAACCTATATCTGGTAGTAGGAATTTGCTTATTTGTTTTCGTTGTAATGGTAGGTGTTATCATGTTGTTGCTATTGACATTGATCCTCAAAAAGTTGAATTGGCGTTTAATAATGCGAAAATATATGGCGTGGAAGATTATATTGATTTTATAGTGGGAGACTTTTTTCAACTTTCACGTACTCTGAAGGTAACGCTTTTCCTCAATTACAATGCTGGAATTCTGTGTAACTACATGAGTTAGAGGCTGTTTTACGTGAATACTTTCCAATTAATATTAATATTTGATGGAATTAGTTTGAAGGCACTAGGCAATGCCATTCATAATAAGTACATGAGTATATATTGGACCTATTTGATGTAAAAAAAAACACACATACACACAAAAAAAAAAAGAATAGAAAATGAAAAAGAAAAGGAAAGAAAAAAATAAAAAGTATGAAAGCAATGTCATGCAGTCGATTTATGGCTGAAGCTTGCTATTGTTTGGGACTTTTCCTTTATTATGATTGCTTAACAGGGCTAATTTGACAATTCTTGAACTCCAGTTTCTCAAATTGAAGCTGTCTCTTTTGGCTAGCTTGCGCACTTGTGAAAATCCTGACTCAACATTTTCTATTACTGTTATTTTCATTCTATTTATTTATTTTCTTAAATTTATCATTTGTTTTGTCAGGGGGATGTGGCATTTCTTTCACCACCATGGGGCGGTCCATCATATAAAACAATCGGGAATTTTACCCTTGATTTGTTGAAGCCAAAAGATGGGTATGCAGCAACGTTTTTGTTTTAAATGGAGTGTAGCAATCATTCGTTACTGATCTATGCAATGTTAACCTTTTTTTTATTTTAGTTTTCTTGTGCATTTGATGTCAACTGTTACTATTGCTTACACAGATTTTTGTTGTGCGCTAATTGCACTGTCTGTGTGTGCAGGTATTCATTGTTTCAAATTGCTCAAGCAATAACTCCTAACATCGTTATGTTCTTACCTCGGCATGTGGACTTGCACCAAGTGGAAGAACTTTCTTGGCTATCTTCTCCTCCCTTATGTGTGGAGGTATTATTGCTTCCACTAGACGATACATTTTGGACTGTTTGTGAGCCCTTGTCAGGAGTTCATCTTGACATGTTAAAAGCCTGTTTATATGTGCAGATAGAAGAAAGTTATGTGAAGAGCAATTTAAAGGGCATAACGGTGTACTTTGGTGGTGCTGCATTTGGGCAACTTGGGTTAGACTATTAACCTTTTTGAGCTGAAGCTTGATCTTGATTAACATTCATGATATCTTCATTGTATGCACTTTGTCGAGGTTGAGGGACAGGAAGGGAGAGTTTTGAAATGCTAGATAACTGGTATAAATATTTTCTGCTCATTAAGTACATTTTCTGTTCTAGTAACTATATTCAAACTCTTGAAGGGAAGAAAGAGAGAGAGAGAGAGAGGCTGTTATATTTCGGAGCATTGCATTGACATTGTTGTGATAAGTTGTATAAAATATTTCATGTACCTGGCTCCATATACTTATTTGGTTATTGAATTTGTGTCCAAAAAAAAAAAAAAATGGAAAAATAAATAAAGTGAAAGAAGCCATTTATTGTGTGTGGTTAGGTTGAGAAAATGAAATAACCATTTGTCAAAAAAAAAGAGAGAAATAAAACTTTTGTTAATTTGTTACTCATAAAAAAAGTGTGTGATTTAATTTTTCTTTGGCTTCCTATCTCTTTAAAAATTCAAAATCCAAAAATGAAGATAAGAGGAAAATAAATTCAAGTTATTGTTGGGAATCTGAAAAATTTTGGTGAGTTGAGTTGACTAATTGTTTTTGTTTGGGTCATGGTAATGGCTAATTGTTTTTGTCTGTGCAACTTTTATACATTTTAAAATATTTTATATAATTTCAAATACTTTCTATACTTTTCAATATATTTTTTAAGGAAAATATCATAGTGATATTTGTAAAAAATAATTACTAATTAATAATAAGTTTTATAAATATTAATAATTAAAATAATAAATTTTTTCATCAATTTATAATTATTTTTTCAAACTATTCCTGATTTGTAATTTCCTTTGCCTGTCACTAGCAATTTCTTTTGTTTTTTTGGAAAGATATGGTGTAGTCTGATTATATATATATATATAGGAAAATGAGTGAGAGCACTAATTAGTGCTATCACTAATTATGTGGCAGTGGGCCCCACCAGAAATGATTTGATGTTTTGGCCTTGGTGTTGTATTTTTTTTTTATTTTTTATTGAGTGCCATGTCATTAGTGGTCTTTTTAGAACTCCAAAATTAGTAGTCTCTATCATTGTTATATATATATATATATTAAAGAATCAACGAGTTCATAAGATTTCAAATATCAAAAGAAGTCCAGTGTCATATTGATCTCTCAGAAAAAGAAAAAAAAAAAAGAAGTTTTCCCAGCCAACACTAACCAAATGAGCATGAACTTAAACAATTGACAGTGAAATATTCATGCACAACCTAAATCAACAAAGCCAGCATGTATCATATTTCACCTAGCACCATCTATTACATTGAAATGTCAATTCTAATTCATTTGCTCTGATGCTTTCACTCACAACAATCCTAGACAAAATCCAGATAAAACATATCTGGTGGCTTAGTACCTGAAAATATTAGTTAAAACTCAAACACAAAGAAACAAAAGATGACACTTAGTTTTCAAGTGTCATGCCGCTTTCACCAGCCACCCCCTCTCATTCTGTCTTGCATCTCAGCTGCCTTCTCCTCTTTCAGCTTCTCCACAATTTTCAATATATTGGGATCGAAGAAACGGTCACGGACATACTTCCTCTCTTCAGCCTGTATCTCCTTGATAGCACTGGGGTATGGGTTTGGAGGGGGTTTCTTTCCTTGAAGACGTGCAATTTGCTTCAATCGAGCATATGCTTTCTTCTTGCCCTTTTTCTCTGCCCGATATTCCATCTGTAGCAAAATTAGCCATAAGACTGACAAAAAGATGACAACAAACATATACATCAAGAATCTGAAAATTGAAATGCATACATCAGCGACAGCCATAGCTTCCTCCTCACTCGCTCCCTGCTCCTTTAACTCGAGCACCCGCCAACCAAATACACGAGCAGGAACGGGTTCAAATCCACAAATCCTGTTGGATAAGAATATAAGTGAAATGACTAAACTTGAAGCTTCTAACCGAAAATTATGGTTTGGTTTTGCTAGAAGATCATGAAGCACCATGACTTCACCCAAAATCTCAAGTATATCATAAATCTCAGTGTCTCTAGAGCTCGAATTTCTGATATAATGCGATCATGTTACATGAATTTGTGAGAGATTAATCCATGTGATCAATCACATCCATCTCAAAAACCCATGCATGTTTCATCAATTTTCAAAATGACTAACATGACCACCTTGAGTTCTAGGTGATACCATTTTTTACATGACATCATGGAGATAAAGAGAGGGTAATAATAAAAAGCAAAATGAATAGACTTCAATAGAATCATGAAATAAAGGTAAATCAAGTCAATCTTCATATAGCAGAAGAGTTATTTGCTCCCAAAAGCAATGGAATGAAACTCACAAAGGTTCCGGTAAGACAAAACCTTCCTTGCTTTTCTCTTCATCGGGAATGTAATGCTAACTTTTATTTTTTTTGCTTTCACACTATAATAGATATTCAATCTTCATACTCAATTTCTACCATTTTCGAAATCATTTACTTCTTATCAATGGGCAAAAAAGAAAGGTAACACGAACCTAAAATTGAGCATTTAAATCTGGTCCCATTAGAAGTAAACCAGCTGATTTATGATATGGTGAATTTCACGTTGGCTAATCTGACTTAAGGTCTAGATGAGGAGTTCTCTAGTCTGACACACATATGCTTGATATTGGAAAATAAGGATGTAGCAAATGAATGAACCCAACTTGACATTACTCACTACTGTACAATCAACTGCATCATAAGCTTCCGTCCAAATAAAGCAGTAACACACTACGGGCTTTCTCAAAACCAAAGTTTCATTTATGCCAGCAAATATATATGTGCACACAAAAAAAGGGACACAAACAAAAGCGAAAGTCATCAAATTTGAAACACATTTCAAGCTCAATCCATCTTAAAAAAATTTATCCAAATTTACAATAGGTTGGCAAAAGAAATGGAATCAGTATCATCAATCAGTTTTTGAAACTCTTCTATCCAAATCTATGTCAAAATCTTCAAATTTTTAACTGCCAGGTTTTTCCCTCCCCACAAGCACCCCAATAGTACCATTTGAAAACGAATTAAATGTATGCAAGTTTTTTCACAAGCTTTGATCTAATAAAAAAGAACAAACCATACCAACTGGAGAGAAATATAAAAGGGGAAAGCATTACTTGATAGCATCTTCATGTTTAGAATCCGGATGCTTCCGAAAGAATTTTTTGATGTAAACATCCTCAGGGAGACTGATCTGCTTAATCTTGCTATCAGCACGGGGAAATGTCACGGGTGGAGCCCTGGATGACAGCATCAATTGCAACTATTAATTCATCAAAATAAAATAAAATGCAACTATTAACCAAAGCTCTTGACATTATAACTGATAATCCAGGAATTTTTTATATCATTGGCCTAAGCAACCCTGAAAAACAACTTTGCCCTCAGATATACCTTAAAATTCAGAAGCAAATATATAGCAAAACCAGAATTTCAGAGTATATATAGTCCAGAACCAAATAAATTTTTTGAGCTAATTACAGTACCATGATAGACTGATTTCTTTATTGAATAATCACTCTTAATTTCAAAGAAACTTCCAACACCACATGCGGGAATGAAATCGAAGGGCTCATTTGGTAACATTTTAGTTTTCTATTTTCAAAATTTTGAAAACAAGAAACATAAATACATTTGGGAACCCTTTTTGTTTTTAAAAAAAAAATGGCAACAATTTTATGCAACGTTTTCAAAATTTTATGCATCAATAAAAAGCTGTTTTCACTTATTTTCAAAACCCACCATCTCTGGCCACTCCCTCCGGCAACTAACCAGACACATATTTCTTATTTTTGTTTTCATATGTTTTGAACACATGTATGCCAAACATATTTTTAGTTCTTGTTTTTTGCCCCAAAATTTTTTCAAAAAAAATAAATAAATTCAGAGACCCAATAATCTAAATTTGAGTACATGATTAACATTTGACAATAAAAAAAAACAAATCTTTGGACCTCCATGATTAAGAAATTCGAGATTTAATACAATCAAACAATTAGGTCAGCCAGCATATCACAACAAACTACAATCTACATGATTTCCTTCACCTTAACTCAAGAATCAGCAAATAAATACACATATACATACAAATATATGCAAAATCTCTGTCTTCTCTCTTGTATGTGTGATGGGTACTTACTGTTCCATGGCTTTGAGCCAAAGGGGTTCGGCCTTGGCCAAACCCTTGACGAGCTTTCTCGTTCTGGTAAGCAAATCGCCCTTCATGAACGACATGGCTCTTTGATTTCCCAAACGCAGAGCTTTCAGCAATGGAATTCAATTCTTCTTCTTCTTCTTCTTCTTCTTCTTCTTCGCTGATTCAGCAATTCAAGAGATAGTTTTTCGACTTCACTTCCATTGATGTTTTTTGAAGAAAAAAAGGGCTTCTTAGATGTGGAAGTCCTTTTTTCAGAATATTTTGAGCTGCTTGGTTGATTTGAGTGATTTTGTAAACGGACTTTCAGTGGCAAGCCCAACGCCTTTAAGCCCATTTCAAACAAGTCAGCAATTTTGGCTTTTCAAAATAACTTAAAGCTTTAACCGGTTCCGTTTATTTCGATGTAAAATTATTTTTTAATTTAAAAAAAAATATTTATAACTTTTTATATTTGGTTGACAGTTTGAAATAAAAAAATTATATCGTGGGTGTTTGGAAAGTAAATTTTTTTAGTTGTAAGATATTATTGGAGAAATTTTTTTTTGTGTTTGAAAAGATAGTTTGATTTTTTTGTAATTAGATGTGATGTTTGTGAAAGAAAAAATAAAATAATTATGAAATTTAATATGATATTTTGTTTGAATTTATTTATTTTTTATTTTGTAATCAATTTACCTTTTAGTAAAAAAAATTTAAAAAAAAAAAAATCCAAAACCCAACTTCCCATACAGCGTCATGCGGTGGATAAAAGTCAATAAAGAGATTTTCACATTTGAAAAGATCAATGTGCCGAAAGAGCGGAGCTGAAAGTGAATTACTTAAAGATCGACTTAATTTTTAATGGTAAGTTATTTTGGGAACTATGATGAAAAGTATTTTTCTTAAAAAATATTTTACCTACTTTGTATTCAATCGAATAATAAAAATACGTAAAATATTAATCGAGTAACAAAACTTCTAAATACCAGATTTATTCCTATATTTGTCTGAAAAAGCTCATACTACCCTTTATCTATATTTGTTTAGGCGGACAAAACCTTAAAATTAGACTAATAATCTAACAAAATGTATAATTCAATGTTTTTACTAAGAAAATTAATAGTTTATCCGAACATAATAACCTCATCTATCTATCTATCTATCTATCTATCTATCTATATATTATATAAGTAAAAGGGAGTTTCTAATGACAAGGCTTATGGAAGCTTTAAACCTTCAAAACTAAATTATATGATTTGTTGATTTTTAAATAATAATAAAAAATCTATTGGTTAAACTCTCATTTAATCATAACAATAAAACTCTAATTATTCTATAAATTACGATTTTTAACAAGAAAGTATGCTTAACTATTTTAATTTTTAAATTTGTGCGCTACTATATATGGAAGCAATTCACTAAAATCTAATTATTATTTATTTTTAAAAAAATCCATTGCTTAACTCTAATTTAACCATAACAATTAAACTCTAATATTCCATAAATTAGGACTTCTAAAAGAAAAATATGCTCAATTATCTCTAAATTTAAATTTGTGTGCCACTAATATGAAAATAATTCACTAAAATCTAATTATAATAACAAAAAAACCTCTAACTATTCCATAATTTATGATTTATATATATATATATATTTCCGTTTCAAGATTGAAATGGTCACATTATCTATGCTACAACTAATATAGAAATCTTTTTCAATTGTAATGATGCTCCTTTCAAAATTCAATATATTAAGTTTTCAAAATTACATTAAACAAAGTTAAAGAAATACAAGGTGCATTTAGGTTAAGGCCTAAGTTACAGGATTTGGGGTGCCTGCTATGCACCCAGCAAAGCAGGCATTGTTGTGCGGCCCTATGAGCTTATTTCGGGATCCGTTTTGATAATCCGAACCATTCATATTTCACAGTACATCGAGTAGAACATACCTGTAAAAAATTAAATTAATCGGATATCGTTAACCTTTTCATCCACTCACATTTGTATCTTCAAAAATAAATGACATTGTGATTTGAAGTATTAAAATAAATACAAATGTGAGTGGATGAAAGGGTTAACGATACTCGATTAATTTAATTTTTTACAGGTATATTCTACTCGATGTATTCTAAAATGTGAACTGTTCAGATTATCAAAACGGACCCCAAAATAAGCCTATAAAGCCGCACAACAGGCACCCCAACTCCTAAGTTACATAAGCTTAATAATGATCGTAAGCATGGTACATTAATATGTGGATAGTTTTTTAAATAAATATTTGTCAAAATTTTGAATGAAAAATTTTTTGCTTAAAAAATAGGTTGATGATTAGATTTAGAGCATATTTAATAAAACTTAATTATTGATTTTGTAATGCTAAAAGTTTTAATAAATTATAAAAAATTTAAATTACATAAGTTTATTCATAAATATTAAATGTGAAAAATACTAGAAGTATTTGAAAATATTAAAATTTCAAATGCTAGAAGAACTATATGATTAAGTATAAATTTTAATGAAAAATTTTTTGCTTAAAAAATAGGTTGATGATTAGATTTAGAGCATATTTAATAAAACTTAATTATTGATTTTGTAATGCTAAAAGTTTTAATAAATTATAAAAAATTTAAATTACATAAGTTTATTCATAAATATTAAATGTGAAAAATGCTAGAAGTATTTGAAAATATTAAAATTTCAAATGCTAGAAGAATTATATGATTAAGTATAAATTTTTTTTAATTAAAATAGTTTATTAATAAGATTATGTCATACATATTTATAATGTATCATGTCCATTTTTTTTTTAAAGTTTGTGATTAACTCTTAAAAATTTATAAAATTCTTATTGAAATGTGGATTATGCATAAATCTATTAACAAATGAGAAAATAAAAATTATAAATTCACATATAGTATATACATTACTTTTATTTGAACCATGCTAACTATGGGCCAAGTAGCCATTTTGACTCAAGCTACCCATTGTATAAATATTAAAGTTTAGGTACTAACTATTAAAATAGTCTAACACGTTTTCAATTAAATACACAATAAAAAACTTAGGCCTATGAGCTAGAGTTAAGTTGTTTTATATACATATTCAGTTTAATTTATTTGTTTAGCATATTAGTTCTAAATTTTTTTAACAAAACCAATTAAAAATATAAAAAAATTAAAAATGATCTATAGTGGTGATCAAATTAAGAAAAATGACTTTAGGATTTGCACAATGTTCAATTGGTTTTACCTCTAAAAATTTAGTAAATATAATTAACTAATATTTAATGAGATTGTTTTAGAGATTATACCTAACAACCTAGAAGGATTGAAGTTATTGACGTCTTATTTGAGGAGTGGGTTGAAGATTGAGATCACTGATACTGTATTTTCTTTTCTATTTTTTATTTGTTCTTCAGTTTTGATTAACTGAATTCTACAAAATAGATATGGTAATTGATTTTACATAATAAATATGAGATAATTGGTAAATTGAAAAACTAAAATTACAAAATTCATCAAGACTAAATATATTTATTATATGAGAACTAATTAATGTTAAATCAATTTTCTTTTTGATATTATAAACAAAATTTTTGTTATAATTTAATTTGAAAAATAATTTTTAATTATTTATTTAAACCCGTGCAAAGCACGAGTATTATGCTAGTATAGAAGTATACCAATGCTAAAAAGTTATATCCACCAGACCAAATTCATCTTTAACTGAAGAGAGATCATAACAATGCATTCATTTTTTTGTTTTTTTATAACCGGGTGTTCGGATTAATTTATGCGTACATCGATTAATTTGGGAGTTCTGAAATTAATAACTAAACAAACTTTCAGTGATCTCATAGTTTGAAATGTTTGACTTTCGTTACGATAAATCCTCTGATTACTTTCTCCCTCCCACTGAGCCAAACCCCTTGGGTTTGTTTCTTATCTCTTTACCCACAAGTTATGGGTTCTCACTCACACATACCTTTCACAATTAAAGTTGGTGGGGGAACAAAATAAAAAAGTTTCCCTTCATGATCATCAATCATTTAAACTTGATTAATCAAAAAATTTGGGTCAACCCATCAAGATCAAAACCATTAATGGTAGATTATTGAATTGAATTGGGATAGATGGTGGATGTGGTACTTATCATTGGATTGTTGGGCATTAAAGGGTGGGTGAATGTGACTAGTGAAACATTCATTTATTATTGTGAAAAAAACACATGCATGCAAAGAAGAGAAGGGTTGAGGTGACTAGTTAGCGAGCAATAGTACTACTGGCCCTATGCTGCAGAGAAAAAGCATGGGAGGGAATTAAAAAGGTTGGTAAGAGTCTAGTAGAGACCATAGTAAATAAAGTAGGTATATGTAGTACTCAATCTTGGACCACTTTCTTTCTTTCTTTTTTTTTGGGTGTGGACTCACACTGCAAATCATCCTTGGCACCAAAGGAAAATGAAAATGTTTTTACATCAAAATTTCACACAAAAATGTTGAGGGTTTGAAATTTTCACCAAATAAGATAAAATTTGTTTTTTTGGCCAAATCCAAGCACAATCTTGGTTATATGTGCAAGATGCAACGGGTGACGCACGCATGTTAACAATTTTTTTGTGAAATTAGAATTTTTTAAGCCCATTTGTTTAGAATTTGATTGCCTTATTTTGGTGATGACCAAGTATGCGTATGAGAGCCACCTTTGTATCTCATCACTACAAACTCAAGCTCAAATTTTGTATCTCCCAAAACAATTGATTTTCTCTTCTCTTTAGTGGACTTTTTAAAACAATATTTTAAATCAACTCGTCTAGACAAAGCTTAAAATAAAAAGTTTGGACACAAAATTTATAAAAATTATTAAAGATAAAGAAGCTATAAAAAAAAAAAAAAAAGTCAACTCAGAGCGCGAAAAAAATCCTTAATACAATAGTGTGACTTATAAAGTAAAGAATTTTTTATTTTTCTTTTATTGATGTGGGACAAAGGTTACACACAAAGTCTAAACAAAATATAATTCTCAAAGATTTTCATAAATATAGAAACATGGATGAAGAACACTCCCACAAAAATTGGTGAAATTGAAACCTTTCATCTCTATCCACAGAGAGAGAGAGAGGTGAAATTCTGAAACATCAGTCACTACTAGCAGAGGAGCACTCTGTCTCTTTGTGCAGTAGTTTTGACAGGAATCTAACCTTTCATAAGCTCATTTAATGGCACTGCAACTTTAACTGAATTTCTTTCCTTCTTAGTTTATACCCTCCACCCCTTG